TGTGTGAGTCTCTCTCTCTCTCTCTCAGTCACTGTGTGAGTCTCTCTCTCTCTCTCTCTCAGTCGCTGTGTGAGTCTCTCTCTCTCTCTCTCTCAGTCGCTGTGTGAGTCTCTCTCTCTCTCTCAGTCGCTGTGTGAGTCTCTCTCTCTCTCTCGCTGTGTGAGTCTCTCTCTCTCTCTCTCTCAGTCACTGAGTCTCTCTCTCTCTCTCTCACTCACTGAGTCTCTCTCTCTCTCTCTCTCAGTCACTGTGTGAGTCTCTCTCTCTCTCTCTCTCTCTCTCAGTCACTGTGTGAGTCTCTCTCTCTCTCAGTCACAGCTGCACAGTGTGTGCACTATTCCGCCTTTCTGCCACTTTTCAAAAAAGATTAACGAGTTAAACTCGTCCTTCCCGATTCCTGGGAGTGTATTCCTTTATCCTCCCCCGAGATCAGCACAACACACACACACACACACACACACACACACACACTGAGGCCAACAACACACACACACACACTCACACACAGCCAACAACACACACACACACACACACACACACAGCCAATAACACACACACACACAGCCAATAACACACACACACACACACACACACACAGCCATCACACACACACACACACAACAGCCAGTTACACACACACACACAGCCAATAACACACACACACACACACACAGCCAATAACACACACACACACACACACACACAGCCAAAAACACACACACACACACACACAGCCAATAACACACACACACACACACACACACACACACACAGCCAATAACACACACACACACACACACACAGTGGCCAAACACACACACACACACACACACAAAAACACACACACACACACACACAGCCAATAACACACACACACACACAGCCAATAACACACACACACACACAGCCAATAACACACACACACACACAGCCAATAACACACACACACACACACACACACACACACACACAGCCAATAACACACACACACACACACACACACAGGCATAACAATAACACACACACACACACACAGGCATAACAATAACACACACCACACACACACAGGCATAACTATAACACACACACACACACACACACACACACACACAGCCAATAACACACACACACACACACACAGCCAATAACACACACACACACACACACACACACACACACACACACACACAGCCAATAACACACACACACACACACAGCCAATAACACACACACACACACACACACACACACAGCCAATAACACACACACACACACACAGCCAATAAACACACACACACACACACAGCCAATAACACACACACACACACACAGCCAATAACACACACACACACACACAGCCAATAACACACACACACACACACACACACAGCCAATAACACACACACACAGCCAATAACACACACACACACACAGCCAATAACACACACACACACACACACACACAGCCAATAACACACACACACACACACACACACACACAGCCAATAACACACACACACACACACACACACACAGCCAATAACACACACACACACACAGCCAATAACACACACACACACACCACACACACACACAACACACACACACACACACAGCCAATAACACACACACACACACACACAGCCAATAACACACACACACACACACACACAGCCAATAACACACACACACACAGCCAATAACACACACACACACACACACAGCCAATAACACACACACACACACACACAGCCAACAACACACACACAGACACAGCCAATAACACACACACACACACACACACAGCCAAAACACACCACACACACAGACCAGGCTAATAAACACACACACACACACACACACACAGCCAATAACACACACACACACACACACACAGCCAATAACACACACACACACACACAGCCAATAACACACACACACACACACACACAGCCAATAACACACACACACACACACAGCCAATAACACACACACACACACAGCCAATAACACACCACACCACACACACAGCCAATAACACACACACACACACACACACACAGCCAATAACACACACACACACACACAGCCAATAACACACACACACACACACAGCCAATAACACACACACACACACACAGCCAATAACACACACACACACACACACACAGCCAATAACACACACACACACACACACACACAGCCAATAACACACCACACACACACCACACAGCCAATAACACACACACACACACACACACACACAGCCAATAACACACACACACACACACCGCCAATAACACACACACACCAATAACACACACAACCAATAACACACACACACACACACCACCAATAACACACACACACACCACCAATAACACACACACACACACCACCAATAACACACACACACACACACACACAGCCAATAACACACACACACACACACACACAGCCAATAACACACACACACACACACACAGCCAATAACACACACACACACACACAGCCAATAACACACACACACACACCAGCCAATAACACACACACACACACAGCCAATAACACACCACACACACAGCCAATAACACACACACACAGCCAATAACACACACACAGACACAGCCAATAACACACACACACACACACACAGCCAATAACACACACACACACACAGCCAATAACACACACACACACACACACAGCCAATAACACACACACACACAGACACAGCCAATAACACACACACTGACACAGACACAGCCAATAACACACACACACACACACAGCCAATAACACACACACACACACACACACACACACAGCCAATAACACACACACACACACAGCCAATAACACACACACAGACACAGCCAATAACACACACACACACACAGCCAATAACACACACACACACAGCCAATAACACACACACACACACACACAGCCAATAACACACACACACACAGAATAACACACACACACACACACAGCCAATAACACACACACACACAGCCAATAACACACACACACACACACAGCCAATAACACACACACACACACAGCCAATAACACACACACACACACACACACACACACACACACAGCCAATACACACACACACACACACAGCCAATAACACACACACAGACACAGCCAATAACACACACACACACACACAGCCAATAACACACACACACACAGACACAGCCAATAACACACACACTGACACAGACACAGCCAGACTGAAATTGTCTATATAGTATATACGTTTGCATATAGATATGTGTATATATATATATTCAACATCAACAACAACAAGAAGATTACATGTGTGCAGCGCCTTTCACGTCGGGAGGATATTCAATCGTATATCAGGTCTATGACCGTCTCTAAACCATCAGAATAGAATGATTAAGAGTTTATGGATTCCCACAGCGTCTCCAGATCTGCTCAATGTTTACTCGTTGCTGTGATCCTAACAAACAGGCAGTAAGGAAGCATTGCATCAAACCCAGAGACCCTCTCACTAGTGAGGCGAGTGCTCTAACCACTATCGCACTCTTCCTGCAATGTAGTGACTGTGGATTTGTAGGCAATCACGGCAGCCAATTTGCAGAAAACAACGTCCCACAAACAGCCGTGAAGTGAATAACAAAGCTTTAGCCGGATAATTATTGGCCAGACAGGATCTTTAGAGTGCACCTGAACAGGCAGGAAGGACCTGGGATTAACATCTCAGTTGAATGAACAACAACAACAATAAATTACATGTGTAAAGGTCTTTCATTGCCGGGAGGACATCCCAAGGTGCTGGGACACCTCCAACAAGACAGTGCGCCACTCCCCCAACATGACTTTGCCGTGTTAGTCTGAGCTCACAGGCTTGAACCCTCATCCTCTGTGACTCACAGAGACTTAGCCCAGCACAGCCCAGCACAGCCACAGCATAGCACAGCCCCAGCACAGCCACAGCCCCAGCACAGCCACAGCCCAGCACAGCCCAGCACAGCATAGCACAGCCCAGCACAGCACAGCCCCAGCACAGCCACAGCCCAGCACAGCCCCAGCACAGCACAGCCCCAGCCCAGCACAGCCAGGCTGAGCTGAGGGAGCCACAGGGTGTGGTTAGCAGGTGCTGAGGTAATGAAGCCATGGAACAGGAAAGCCATTCAGTTTGTGGCTGTGTCTGGCTGTATGTTTGAGCCTTGTCTGTTCACTGGATGTGAATAACTTTTAACTTTGTAAACTAACAGAGGATTTGGGTTTGATTCCTGGGAAGGGCAAAACCTTAGGCAAGTTTCCTTCTCCACTCACAGACCTCTGTTTATCTAGCAGTAAGTAGTCGAATGGCGGATTGCTTCCTGAGGGTAATAATTCCATAAAAAAATAATAATTGGGTCATTCAATCCACGACTGTTTGTGGGACGCTGATGTGTGCAATTGGCTGTCGCGTTTCGCCCACAAAATACAGTCAATTCACTTTACATTCTGTGAAGTGCTTTGAGACGTCTCAAAGGTGTGATAAGGCGCTGTATCAAATGAAAGGATTATTATTATCTGTTTTCATTACTTTGATGTTGTCAGGGGAGCTGGACAAGGTTGTGTGACGCCCTGACGTCTAGCTGATTTTATCGTTCCAGGAATGTAGGTTGGGGCGAGACAATTATAACATTGCTATGTGTGCAGGCAGGTATTGCTCTTGTTAAATAACCCACAAGAATCAGCTGTTTTAATTTTTAAATGTTGTCAAATAGACTTTCCTGGTACACAGTAAACTGGGAGAAAACCATCCTATATGTAAACCGTGAGACCCGAAGCTCCTCTTCCATCTAGAAAGGATGTAACCAGACAGTATTATTATAATAATAATCCTTGCATTTGATAAAGAGCCTCACCCCACAAAATACAAGGATTATTATTAGTACTTACAAAATATCTGCCTTAGGTAATAGAATGTGTGCTAAATGTCCTCCGTGCATTAGCTGTCAATGGTATAATAATTACAATAGGTTTTCAGTGATGTGAGACGTGACTGGCTGGTCAATGGGGTGTAAGGCTGGTAGAGGGAGAGCCTGACATTAGTGTAAAACACGTCCGAGCTGTAACTGATGTACACTGGCATGCAGCCTTCACTGGACAGAATCAAATGAATGAATTCTAGAGAAACTAAAATAAGTGACTTATCTGGAATCCTGTAGCGTATTGGTTAAAGTGCTCTCCTTGCAAGCAATCGGACCAGGGTTTGATTCCCGGGCGAAACCTCACTTAAGTTTCCTTACTCCACACACACGCCTCTGTGTAAATCATATGTTTGACTATTTAGGCACTGGGATGTCAAGTGTCCGATTGGAAATCAGGTGACTCCCAGCTACTTTCAGAGAGAACATGGGATGTATTAAATTACAAATAGAAACACTCCATCATAGAGGATTTGTTCTGTAGCTTTGCCTTTGGTCAAACAGGCAAAAGGCAGAGAGGAACTAGACACTGTTGTAAATGAAGATAAAATCAGCAGCTGTTTTTTTACTGTTCAGCAAAAATCAAATTCTGAAATTTGCTATGAATCAATTAAAAAAGGCTTCTGGCCTACAAATGGACCTTAATCAAATTAATCTTCACCAACAGCAAAAGGACACAGAATATCTTGTGCTTCTGTTACCTCATCTTGCATTACCATGTTTGCTTTTGTTAGTTGTTCTGTATTGAAAAACGTCACTTTAAAACCAAGCAAATTTATAAACCACGAATAAATAATGTTCCATATCGATGTAATGTGGTGTCCCGTATCGTATTGGTTAGAGCACTCGGCTCGCAAGCGAGAGGACCCGGGTTTGATTCCCGGTCAGGGCGAAACCTGAGGCAAGTTTCCCTACCCCACACGCCTCTGTTTACCAGCAGTCAGTAGGAACCCGGTTGTTAGTCGATTGGTGGATCGCTTTTCCAGGACTAATAATCCTTCCAATAAAAAATTAATCTCTCAATCCGCGGCTGTTTGTGGGACAGACGCTGCTGTGCACAATTGGCTGCTGCGTTTCACCCACAAAATACACAATCAATTCACTTTACACTGTATCCTGTGAAGCACTTTGAGACGTCTCAATGACGTGATCAGGCGCTGGGTCAAATGCCGGGATTGTATAGTAATCAGGAATATTAATAAGGAATGTGGAAGGGCAGGAGCGGATGCTGGGAGCCCAGGGCAGGCCGGGGACCTCCCTGCTCAGCCCCAACTCAATCCAATGGGAAAGCCGCCGGTGCTGGTTGGTTGATCCGTTGTCCTAGTAACACCCCCCAGGGCTGGTCCAGATGCTGAAACTCAGTCCCTCTCAGGCTCTGTGAGCCTCAGCATCAGATGTGAGTGTGTGCACAGCAGTGTGTGTGTGTACAGCGGTATAGCCACAAGAAGTGTGTATGTGTACAGCAGTGTGTGTGTGTATAGAGCAGTGAGTGTGTGTGCAGCGCAGTGTGTACAGCAGTGTGTGTGCAGAGCGGTGTGTACAGCAGTGTGTGTGTAGAGCGGTGTGTGTACATCCGTATGTGTGTACAGCAGTGTGTGTGCACAGCCACAGGCAGCCTGTGCTGAGATGGGCTGTGGAAACTCTACAGCCACCATCACCAGTGCAGGTGAGCAGCCCTTTTGTCACTAGTCATTCCCTGAGCTGAGCTCTCCATTGCTGTGTGTACCATGTCAGTGTCTGCTCTATTCCACCTGCTTCACACCATCAAAAAAGCCTCTGCCCTCAGCTGTGAGGCAACTGCTTTTTTTATATATTATTACCATGTTTGCAATTTCATTCTCTATTCAGGTCCCAAATAAGATTTCTTCATTGCTCGTAAAAAAATATTTACAGTACTATAGCTGCCCTTGAATGGGGCACCTCACTCCCTCGTCTCCTTCAAGGCACAAGACCCTCCTCTTTGACTGCGCCTTCAGTCACCCTCCTACCCCCACCCTCCCGCCCTCCATCCCTCCTGATCCCAACCCCCAGCTCAGGTCTAAATCCGTGACTGTCCAGCACCTTGGGACGCCCTCCCGACATCAAAGGCTCTGTGTAAATGTCATGCGTTGGTTGTTGTTGTTTATTGTAAGAGTTACAATTTATAACTCTTTGTATTGTAATGTGAGGGAATTCCAGATTATAATCCTGGAATATAATCTATAATATGATAGACAGAGGGTTAGGCAGTGTTTGAGATCCAGCGTGTGAGAGATAGATATAAAGATGTTCCTGAATTGAAGAACAATAATTGGAATGACTGATGTACAATTCAAGACAAATCTATGATTTTAAAATCATCTGTAAATTGCTGAATTGTAATGTTATCCTGGTTTGTAAAATTGAAATGTGTGTCTGAGCTGAATACTATATTAATGCACTGAGTATATGACGTCTGTTTGTATATTTACTAAATAAATACACAATTTTCCTGTCTGTATACAGTGCAAGCCACACAGTTTAAGCCATCAGCATTTTAACAAATAATAATAACCCTTATTTTTGATACAGTGCCTTATCATGTCTTCTATATGTCTCAAAGCGCTTCACAGGATATACTGGAAAGTGACTGTACATTTTGGGGACGAAACGTGGCAGCCAATTTCGCACAGCATTATCCACAAACAGTCGTGGATTTAGTGACCAAATACTAATTTTTTTAATATATTAATTTAATGAACATGTAATTCACTGGGAGTGTTTTTATCTGCAGTTTTGGCCATCAAGTGAAAACAATAATTAGCTAATTCTGGGTTGTACTTTCTAGTAAAAAAAACGTTTGTATGAGAGTTTGGTTATGTTATGGAGGGGAACCTCTTGAAGGCAATGTCTCCATGTAAAGCGGGTTCTCTCTATCTGACTAATGACCATGTAAAGCATTCTCTCTGTCTGATTAGCCTCATTAAGGCATCACCACAGTGTGGGTCTATATAGTCTGATTGTCAGTGATGTGCCTAAAGTATTGGAGCTATTACTTTCCATCTCCAATGGGTAAATCATCATTAGGGAAATGAGTATGTAAATCTCATTCGTTACCTTCTGATACTGAATGTGTTGTGTATCTGATTACAGACTATTGTGATGCTCGGTCCTCCTGACGTGAAAGGCGTTATTACAAATGTTGTTTGTTGTTGTTGTTGGTTAAACCCATGAAGTGTTTTTAAACAATTTGCATCTGATAATCCAGTAATGATTCATTTGATGTGGAGTCCTGTAGCTTAGTGGTTAGAGCACTCGCCTTGGTTGCTGCACTTCGCCCATAAAATACTGTAAATTCTCCTTACAGTGTATCCTTTGAGATGTCTAGAAGACATGAAAAGCACTATATCAAATGCAAGGATTATTATTATTACAACAGCAAAACAAAATGACATTTGTATAGCGCCTTCGATCACCCTCCTTCCCCCCACCCCACCCTCCACCCTCCCCTATCCCAACCCCCAGTTAGGGTCTCTGAAACACTCCCTGTCCAGCACTTTGGGATATCCTCCCAACCTGAAAGGTGTTATACAAATGTAATTTTGTTGTTGTTGTTGAACCAGTCCGCTGTAAACCAGCATGTCTTCCCCTAAGTAATATTTAATTAAATACTCCCACTAAGAAGGTATCAGTAGCCTCTGTGTACTCTAATGCGATGAATTTTATTAAGATTTGCATATGTTATATTCATAACTGCATAGAGCATTAATACTAATGAGCTGGATTAATTCTGATCTTTGGATATCATGGAAAACAATCATATAAAAGGAATGAGATGGAAAAATAAGTGCCCAGAAAACAACTTTTTTTAAAAAAATTGGTCACTTCAATTCACGACTGTGTGGGACACTGCTGTGTGCAATCGGCTGCTGCGTTTCGCCCACAAAACACACAGTCACTATACTTTACAGTATATTCTGTGAAGCCCTTTGAGACGTCTCAAAGTCATGATAAGGTGTGATATGAAATGCAAAGATTATTATTATTTATGCTAGGATATTATTATCTTTCTAGATTCATATAGTGTAGCGTTTGTGTTAGAAATGACTGACTATTATGTAAACAAATTCTTACTTTGTACTGTAACAGCTCATATCTATTCTTTGTACAAAAAGGGCTCTGGAGCGGTTTAATATACGCAAATATCTTCCAGAATTTAATTAAGTCAGGGTTGAAAAAATATAATTTGTTCACTCAATTCACCACTGTTTGTGGGACGCTGCTGTGCGCAATTGGCTGCCACGTTTCACCCACAAAATATACAGTCAATTTACTTTACAGCATAGTCTGTGAAGTGTTTTGAGGCGACTCAATGACATGTTAAATGCAAGAATTATTATTATAATATATGACTCTGTTGACGCCTACAGAAATTGTTGTGTGAATATGATTACAAAGAGTCGTAGTGCAGTGCCTGTTTACAGGATTCTTTTTCCAAAAATTTCCAGGTCCTGATGGGGTGGCAAAAGATATGTGAGTATGAATTCTTACAAAGATATTTATTTACGTCACAATTTATTCAGATCAAGTTGTATATGTAATGTTTTAATAGGAGAGGCAGGCCGAATGACTTTAGTTGCTGAGAGATTAACCCGGGTATTTGTTTTATAAGTGGGTATCTGGGTTTATCACATTTACTTACAATATAATACCATATAATATCCATTTCACAAGTTACAATATATTATTATAGATACAGTAAGTAGGAACCCGCTTGTTATTCAATTGGCGGATCGTTTTTCCAGGAGTGATAATCAGCCCTAACAATTTTTTTAAAAAATTATTGTTATTATTATTACCTGGCTGGCTATGGTTTCTGGACTGTTCCCTTCACACACAGTGATGTGTGTAACATTACACCTCGTGACTAATATAACCATTGTGTGACAACACTGTCTGCTGTGGACCTTTACACCATCGAAAAGAACGTGTCTTTTAACACAAACATTCTGTGGCGAGCAATTACAATCTAATGGCCACACAAACCTGCTGTTGTCAGGAGGAAACAGCTGTGCTTAATGTTTATAAGCAGTTGTTATCAGCCCCTGACACAAATGAAGTATCCTAACAATCTGGTATCCGTTTACGTGGTCTGTAAGCCCTGTGGTTAATCATTAACTCTACTGTACATTTTATTTTGAGGGTTGGAGGATCTCTCAATTTGAGTGCTTGAAATATATTAAAAGTACCGTGTTGTTTATGTGACTGTCGTAATAATATTAATAATCCTTGCATTTGATATAGCACCTTATCACGTCTTCAAAACGCATTAAAGTGCTTCATAGTAAAGTATATTAACTGTATATTTTGTTAGAGAAATGCGGCAGCCAATTGCACGCAGCAATGTCCCACAAACAGTCGTGGATTGAGTGAACAATTTTTTTTAAAAAAAGGAATTATTACCCCGGAAAAGTGATCAGTCAATTGACTAACAACTGGGTTCCTACTTACTGCTGGTAAACAGAAGCGTGTGGAGTAAAGAAATTTGTCCAATGTTTCGTCCTGCCGGGAATCGAACCCAGGTCCTCTCGCTTGCGAGGCAAGTGCTCAAAACAACAACAAGACCTTAAACCTTTTGAGATTTTATGATAATTAAACAGTTACACGGATCAGTGTTACACACCGTCATAAATATTTTGAAAGAATGTTTTTTAATTCCTATAAAATTCCAAAAGGTTTATTTGCTAGTTTGTCCAGCTTTAGGTAAATGAACAAATAGTTGAGCGAAGTTTAGTAGTGCAGTATAGAGACGTTAGTTAATGTGTCCCCACTTACTGATAGAGTCACAGATCACAGTTTCCTTACTCCACACAGAGCCTAATAATAATCCCTCCAAAACAAAACAACAATAAATTGGTCATTTTCAATCCACGACTGTTTGTGGGACACTGCTGTACGCAATTGGCTGCAGCGTTCGCCCACAAATATACAGTCAATTCACTTTACAGTATATTCTATGAAGCGCTTTGAGATGTCGAGAAGACGTGAAAAGCGCTATATCAAATGCAAGGATTATTATTATTATTACATTCAGTTACCCATGGATTTGAATCTTAATAAGTGTGTGACATGTTCTTGTCTGTGTCACTTCCTCCACTCAGTGTGTGATGTGTCAGACGTGTTTATTATCTGTTCATCTCCCTCTTAGTCAGCAAGGGATCACAGTTATACGTTATAATAAAAAGGAGAGGAAACTTGAGAGTAATTATCTAAAGCAGTTTTGTAAACTAGTTTGCATATTGCCGCTGACATTAAATCGTCCATTGTAAGGGTTACCAGGAACAGTAAGTGAGTGAAGGATGTTAGTGAAGCTGTTTTCATGTGTCTGGTGTAATTAGAGCCTAGATAATAAATGTTAGACTAATGAACTCTATTTCTCTGTTGTTAATAGAAGGGGTTGTCAACATAAACACTCATCAGGAGAATAGCAACAACAATGTACGTCTCACTAAACAACACCACAGGCATAAATAATAATAATCCTTGCATTTGATACAGCCCCGTATCACATCTTTGAGACGTCTCAAAGCGCTTCACAGGATAAATCAAATAGGGAAGTCAGAAGAAACTTCTTTACCCAAAGTGTGGTGGGAATGTGGAGCTTGTTGTCAGACAGTAGGGTTAAACGGGCCCTTCTCAGATTGGCAGGTTGTGACGAGTGGAGTGCCTCAAGGATCAGTGCTTGGGCCTCAACTGCTTACAGTTGACATCAATGACTTAGATGACGAAATAGAGCTTAATGGATCTAAATTCGCAGACGATACAAAGCTCGGTGGGAAAGTAAGTAGTGAGGAGGACACAAGGAGAATGCCAAGGGATATAGACAGGTTAAGTGAGTGGACAAGAAGGTGGCAGATGGAGTATAACGTAGGGAAGTGTGAGGTTATTCACCTAGGTAGAAAAAATAGAAAAGCGGATTATTTTCTAGAGACAGAGAGACTAGATAGTGATAGTGTTCAGAGGGATTTGGGTGTCCTTGTACACCAGTCACAGAAAGTTAGTATGTACGCAGAGCAAGCAATTAGAAAGGCTAATAGCATGTTAGCGTTTATTGCAAAGGGGTTAGAGTACAAGAGTAGGGAAGTCTTGCTGCAGTTGTATAAGGCCCTGGTGAGACCTCACCTGGAATATTGTGTGCAGTTTTGGTCTCCTTATTTAAGAAAGGACATACTCGCCTTAGAGGGGGTGCAGTGTAGATTCACTAGGTTGGTTCCTGGGATGAGGGGGTTGACCTACGAGGAGAGGTTGAGTAAACTAGGCCCTATATTCTCTTATCTTATATAAGATTCTTAAGGGTCTTGACAGGGTAGATACCGTGAAACTGAATGGCCTACTCCTGCTTCTATTTCTTATGTTCTTATAAAGATGCGCTTTACAGAGTTGTGTGAAAGAGACACTTCCCCCACTGCCGTTTCCCCAAAAGGTTTTTTTTCAGCTCCAATGCCTCTCTGGAACCTCCTTTTCCCCTGATTTTCATAAAATCACAATTGTTATGTTTAGAGCAGTACGCACTGTTCTTATCAGGCCTGATTACTCCGCTGTTTATCTACACAATAAGACATTCAAGATGCTGAATAATGTATGAAGGACAATCATGCAGTCTTAAAGTGATTATTCACACAGACATTAATGTGCCTCCAGGCAGACATCTCTCTTGGAGATTGAGTTGCTGAAGTTAGATACCGATCTGATTGGCAAATGGCAGAGAAGCAGCAAATGTACTCACACAGGAGACAAAATGGTCTTCCTGCCATTAACTGCCTGTAATATCCGCTTGTAAGAAGTGAATGTACAGACAACCCCGTCAGAACTTTAAGACAACTCAATGTTTCAAGTTGCACATCTGCTGACCATGAAAACCGTCCCATGTTCCTTCCTTGATCCCAAACACTGTCCTTCACACTCAAATACAGTGTATCTGTGAATTTAAGGGTACCATGAGTCTGCTTGGCTAACTATAATAGGAATACATGTTTAAACACAAGTAACTAACTTTGATGTCCATTCAGAACACGGGTTCAATACAAAATTAGTTTTGATGCCAAAGGATTATAACTGAGTTGTTTTGAAGTCCTATTCACTGCCCTTGAGTGAACCTTCACAATGCAAAGTCGCACGATAATCCCATTCTACCTGCCGGTGGCTGGGCGGGAAGTGTGAATAGGAAGTAGATTGAATTAAGTGTCATTAGCTGTAAATGATATTTAATTAATAATCCTTGCATGTAAATGATATTTACATATTGTAATCCTTTCAAAAAAAATCCTACAATTTATCAGCGCAAGCGTCTGATTGCAATATATAAATGAACATGCCTATCATGTCCAATTTTATTTCACCCACAAAATATACAGTTAATTCACTTTACAGTATATCCCATGAAGCGCTTTGAGATGTTTCAACAAAGTGATGACGCTGTATTAAATACAAAGATTATTATTATTGTTATTATTATTACAATATGCCATCATGGTTTTAATATATAAGGGCAATATTGCAGTTATTGTATCTGTGGCAAGTCTCTTGTCCATAAAAACGAGAAACACATTTTGTTATTTGTTATTGCTGTTTATTTCGGTCTTTTATTTAATTCATAAAGAAATAATCCTGATCTTGAATATAGCACCTTTCACACTGAGGACGTCTCTAAACACTTCACAGAATTTGAAGGTAAAAGTGTTGTGATTTTGTATTGTGTAGGTGATTACATTAATGTATGTGAGGCGTTGAGGTGAATGTGATGGAATATTTCAGAATGATAAGAAAATAGAGGTAAAGGTGAAGAGAGAGCACACTGGAGCTTTTCTGTCTGTATGTGAAATGTATGTAAAAGTGGCCTGGTGGAGAAGTGTGTGGATAAATAAATAATAGGGAAAATAATAATAATCCTTGCATTTGATATAATAATAATAATAATAATAATCCTTGCATTTGATATAGCGCTTTTCACGTTGGGAGGACGTCCCAAAGCGCTTCACAGAACACACTGTAAAGTGAATTGACTGTATATTTGTGGGCGAACGCGGCAGCCAATTGCGCACAGCAATGTCCCACAGACAGTTGTAGATTGAAAATGACCAATTTGTTATTGGTTTTGGTTTTGGAGGATTATTATTAGGCTCTGTGTGGAGTAAGGAAACTTGCCCAAGGTTTCGCCCGCTGCCTGGAATTGAACTCAGGTCTCTCACTTGCAAAGCGAGTGCTCTAACCACTGAGCTACAGGACTCCATATAGCACCTTATCACGTCTTTGAGACATCTCAAAGCGCTTCACAGAGGACTATTTGTAGTGTAGACAAATGAAGCAGCCAATTTGCCCAGGAAATGTCACACCAGAGCTGTTTGTTTACTGTAAAAATGAGATTGGATAATTGGTGAGGGGGATAATCAAGCTACAAAACAATATGCAATTTACACTTAATAATAAATAATCCTTGCATTTGATACAGTGCCTTATCATGTCGTTGAAATATCTCAAAACACTTCACACAATATACTGTAAAGTGGAGTGACTGTGTATTTCGTGAGCGAGACGCATGATCAGTTTGTGCACAGCAGTGTCCCACAATGAGTGACCACATTTTTATTTTGGCCAGGACACTGGGAGAGAGAAACTCCCTTCTCTTTTCAAATAGCACTATGGGATCTCTACCACCCGAACAGGCAGATGCGACTGTGGTTTAAAGTCTCATCCGAAGGACGGCACCTCCCAACAATGTGACGCTCCCCAGCACTGCATTGGGACATCATCTTAGATCGTGTGATTCCAAGTCCCGATGTGGGGCTTGAACCCACAACCTTCTGACTAGGAGGCGAGAGAGAGAGAGCGCTATCACTGAGCCGGGCTGACATATATTTATATAACGCCATTCCCGACATCTCAAAGCGCTCTACACTGCTGACTGGGCACCCGAGCCAGGGGGTGGGAGCTGGAGAGGGTGGGGAAGGGAAGGATGACTGAACACACAAATCTTGAGGTCTATTAATGTGGAGAGGGAGGTGACGAGTGGGAGGGATTATAACACAGACACTGTATTGTGTAATATTGTGTCTGTAAAGGTTTTGTGAATCTCAGTGTCCCTTTGTGTTCTCTTTATCTGCTTTGTGGTATCCAGGACAGAGGAACCCACATCCGAGGAGGACAAAAGGAGGTATTGAACCTGCAAGTTTCTCATTGTGTTTCTTGTTATATTGAGCAGCAGCTCCTGTGCTTGTTGAGAAGTGATTCCCATGTTAAATAGTGGATAGTGTCACTGACCCATTGTAACACGGCTTCATTTATACAACAACCACATACATGTTAACAACAGCAACAACACATTACATTGTAAAGAGCCTTTCGCGTCAGGAGGACATCCCATTATTACAGTTACATTCAGTCTATGGGGTAAAAGGCACCCAGGAAGTCTGTTCAGTATCACACCATGGGTGGGGGTGAGGGGAGGGAAGGAGTGGGGAGGGGCAAAGGGAGGGATTAGTGGGAGGGGGAACAGAAGGGGGATGGGGTGGGGAGGTGAGGAGGGGCAAGGGGTTGAGGTGAGGGGACTCTGGGATGGAGTTTCGGAGTGGGGCAGAATGGCTCCCCGAGCATTGCACTGGAGTGTCAGCCCAGACTGGGAGTTCAGTAAAACCCCTAATATGGGGTTTACACCCACAAGCTTGTGACATGGAGGTGCGAGTGTTCCCACAGAAACCAATCCTAATGGAGCATTTCTGTGTTAGCCTTTCTCTGAGTCTCTTTCGTGTTCATGATGGAATTGCCATCATTCATCCTAACAAGTGAGAGACATCAACCTATTTGCAAAAAACAAATTTCACAGGAATCTCGTCTGGACACTTGTGTGGAGACTGAGGGGCAGCATATCTAACCCTAATCCTAATTTCTTTCACTGATTAGGAATTATGGTGGTGTGTATGTTGGTGTGCAAGGGGAAGCTGCCACCAGGGTTCCCAGTCAAACACAGTCTACCCAGTCAAGCAAAGGTACTGGAGCCACATCTATTAATACAGTCTGGAGTTTAGTCGTCAGAGGTGTTTATGTCATTGCTTGTGCTTCATGCTTTCTCCATCAATCACATTGAGTCCATTCTGTGGGGAGTCAGTGTTGGACTGTGTTAAAATGGCTGTCATTAGAATCCCCTTCACAAAGCATGATGTTATGCTGCCAGGCGTCAGACAGACTTAATGTTGTCCACACTCTATCTTCCCCGTTTGTTCATTGTGTTAATACTATAAAAGCTGCATTATTTGGAGGCTAAATCCAGTTTCATTACATTGCGTATTTGTTCAGAAATATATCTGCACTATCCTTATGTTACTTTACTTCAGCATTTTATTTTTTTCTTTCTGAATCCCAGAAACTGACAAAAACACCAAGGAATCTAACTAATACAAGGTAATGTCTCTCTTAAATTATAATTCACTAATGGTATGCACATCAATTATTAAACATCAGTGAAGAAGTCACAATAACTGCTGAATATTAGTTTGCACAATAATAATTTAACAAGAGAACGAAACATTTTGATTGTCCGTTTCTCCGTGGTGAATGGCTGATTTAAGCTGGTGAGATTTTATGGTATGATATTCATGTAATGAGCTGTTATCAATCTTCCGTGGAAGGTGTACTTGGTCTTCTTTCACTTAACAATTCTTATGTTCTTACAAAACCAATTGTTCATTGGTTAAGTATGAAGTGATTGACCACCAGTGTGTGATATTTGTATTGTTTCTGCAGGACTTATTGAGGCTGTAGCTTTCCTTTTCATTTATTCAATCTTGTTCTTATTAAATTATGTTGAATTTAATTTAATTCAAATAATGTAATTATTTTAATTTGAATTTATAATGTTTAATGATGTTGAATGTAAGTGAGCAAGTCTGTTATATTCTGTTGCACTTTTTTTTATTACAGACTGCACAACCTGAAGCCTGTATTCAAGAGCTGCCATTATTGCCTGTTTCTGATTGTTGGGACTAAATGACAGAACAACGGTGGTCGTTCATTTTAAAACCTCTTTTTTTAACCTGTGTCCAGATTTATTGTAATTGGTTGTTTGTGTCAAAGAATAGTGATGCCTCAATGACCAACTGTTAACCAAAGGTTTCCTGTGATAGCTATGAGAAACTAGAAATGTTCTACTGTCTGCCAGATGAAGAGGTTAGGGGTTTATTTAACCCATTGGAAGTGCTTGAAGGCAGTATTTGTGTAGATGCTGGACAGTTAATGTATCCAGTTAGTGGTTCTTGTATGTAAGGGACTCAGAGATCAGTCTTCGTGTGATATTTAACTTGACCCAGGTCACTTATTACCAGAGTTTACTTCATTATCTAGAAAAGAGGCAAATGTATTATTTTTCTGAATGAGTATGGAAGAATGAGGGTCTTCAAATATCCCTTTGAGATTTTTGGCCTGTTTCACTTTAGAATCACTGCTTGCAGACTATTTATTTGAACTTCAGAAGCTTTTGACAATTTTTATTTTTACTTTCAATAAAAAAAGATGTTTTTTAAGGTATTTTTCACTTCATGTTTGATAACCAATATACAGAGGTCATTTGGCAAACACACCTTTTGGAATTCTTTTGCCACGAGGAGAAGCCCATCTTTTACTGGAATTTTATTGTCTCCTTAGATTGTATTGGCCTTTGTTCCTCTCCAGCTGTAGACTAGTGTGAAAGCCACATAGCGGAAGATCACATTATGGCTTTATGTCTTCCATTTACAGTGACTTCTCACGCACTGCTGAGTAAATACATTTCAGAAGAAATCATCGCTAGGGAGACAGACAGTGGAAGCAGAAAGTGTTGTTTGTTTCAAGAACAATTGAAACAGATTTCTGCTGGAAAATAATATCTTGGAATACAGTAAATAGTTTGGGGCACGACATGCCAAGCGACTGCCAGGATCCTGGAGGAAGGCAAACTAGATGGACCTTGTTCTTCTTTAGCCTGACAAATCCTTATGTTCCAGATTATTGTCGTGTGGCTTATCATGATAATAATGTGTTGACTGTGAGCATTACCTCTCTCGAATTTTCTGAAAGTAACTTCTGCAGTGGGAACACCTTGTCAACCTGTTCACCTGTGGAGTTTTATATAAAGGAGTTGAACAGTTTTAAAATTGTTTTATATTAATCTTAAATATTAATCTTTTTATACACTGTTGATGATTGCTGTTAGAGTTCAACAAGGAGTTCTTTCTGTGACTGAATCATTTCATGTGTTTATTGCCGATTATTATCAAACAGGAATGAATGACTGGCTGACAGGACAATATTGCAGGTTCTAATTGACTTCTCAGGAACAGATGTGTTGTAGCTGCAAAACAACAGGTGTAATTGATGCTTTTGTGAATGAGTAAGAGACGTCTCAATAACAATCTGATGTTACTTTGCAAACTAAGTATTTATCTTGAAGATTGACCAGGAAAATGTTGGTAAATTCAGTGAAATCTATATTTTGTCCTGAAGTATGTACTTATGGTTGGTGAAAAGAAGAGTTTCTCCCAGTGTCTTTGCCAACAATCCTCCGGATAAGTGGTGTGTGTTTGTGGAAGTTTGCTGTATGCCAAACCTTTGCTTTCACACAGGTGACTTGTCTATAATTTGCTATAAAGCATTTGAGACACTGAAAGTTATAAAAACAGTATTTGTTTAGATGTTCACGTTGAAGATCTGTGTGTTGAATATCGCCGCTCGGTGGTGGCAAATAGCTCCTGACAACAGCTGCTGTTCCAGTATGTTGAGCAAAAATATGACACAACTTAATTACTTACTTACTTCACTTACTTGCTTTACTTGCTTACTTTACTTACTTTACTTGCTTACTTTATTTACTTTACTTACTTTTACTTACTTTTACTTACTTTACTTACTTTACTTAACTTTACTTACTTCACTTACTTTCTTTACTTTCTTTACTTTCTTTACTTTCTTTACTTATTTTACTTACTTTCTTTACTTTCTTTACTTACTTCCTTACTTTATTTACTTCCTTTACTTACTTCCTTACTTACTTTACTCATTTACTTTACTTACTTACTTTACTTACTTATTTACTTACTTATTCACTTACTTACTTTTTTTAGTTACTTTACTTACTTTACTTAGTTTACCAAAAAGAGAAACCACTTGAATCACATTTCACCTTATCAGCAATGTGCTAATGGTTAAAATTGACATAAAAAGTCTTCCCATTATTTTGCCCCGATTTAAACCATCGATAACATTGACTAGTGCCTGACTGTGCAGCTGCTCAGCTGCTTTAATGGTGTAGGTTTAGATTGTGAATGTTCTCGAAACTATTGTTGTTACCATATAGAGTAATGGCCTCTTGCTAAGCTGTCTGATGTGAATGAGCCCTTTAAGCAGTGCCAATGTACTTGGGTTGGTAACCGTAGTCTGTGAGTGTCCCTTTGTGTCCTGTTTTAGATCCCAGTGTGTGTAACGTACACACAGTACACAATACAGCAGGACTCTGACATTCAGTCCAGGCAGTGATGTGAATCTGATGGGGTGAGTGTAGTTGAGGGTTGACTTGTTTTCAATGGGTCATTATGTGTCCTGGTTCCTGGCACTGAGCAGCAGCTCATCAACAAAATTACATGTGTAAAGCGCCTTTCACTTCGGGAGGACGTCCCAAGGCGCTGGACAGTCAGAGTTTCAGACCTGAGCTGGGGGTCAGGGTTGGGGAGGGTGGAGGGCAGGGTTGGGAAGCCAGGAGATCAAAAGCACGGTCGAAGAGGAGGGTCTTGAGATGGATCTTGAAGGAGACAAGGGAGGGGGCGAGGCGAACGGACTGCGGGATGGAGTTCCAGGGGGTGGGGGCAGAGTGGTTGAAGGCCCGTTCGCCAATGGTAAGACGAGGCAGGGGATGTGAAGCTGGCCAGAGCCCTCTGAGCGGAGGCAGCGAGCAGGATGGTAGGGGTTAGGAGGTGGCAGAGGTTGGTGGGAGCAAGACCATGGAGGGCTTTGAAGGTGAGGACCAGGATCTTGAACTGTATCCTCTGTGTGATGGGAAGCCAGTGGAGTCGGCGAGGATGGAGGTGATAGGGTCATGGAGCCTGGTGCAGGAGAGGACACAGGCTGCAGAGCTCTGGATGATCTGCAGCCTGTGGAGGGAGGAGTTGGGGGGCCGACAAGCAGGGAGTTTGCATAGTCCAAGCTTGGATGGCGTGTATGAGGGTTTTGGTGGCCTGCGGTGTGAGACAGTGGTTGAGCGGAGGTGGGAAAGGCAGAGCGGGTCACGGCATGGATTTGGGGTAAAAAGGATAGTTGAGGGTCAAACAAGACCCCAAGGTTCAGGACTGGCTCAGTGAGATGGAGTGAATGGCCATGGATGGTGATGTTGTCAGCGCCTGAGGTGAGGAGCGCTGACGGGAGCCAATCAGGAGCCTCGGTCTTGTGGACATTCAACTGTAGAAAGTTTGCTCTCATCCAGGACTTGATATCTGATAGACAGAGTCAAGGATGGAGGCAGAGAGGTAGAGTTGGGTGTCATCCACATACTTGCCCCCATGTCTGTGGATGATGTCACCAAGAGGGAGCGTGTAGATGTTGAAGAGGAAGGCAATTTACTGGAATCACCAGCATGACGTAAGCATTTACACAGAGCAGCGTCCCAGAGCGCTGGACAGTGGCGGAGCACGACTCCAAGCCAGGCGGAGGGGGAGGGGACCGTAGCCGCGGTCGAAGAGGAAGGTCTTCAGACTCGACCTGAAGATGGGAAAGGAGGGGGCGAGGCGGAGGGAGAGAGTTTTGGGGCGTAGTGGCTGAAAGCGCGTACACCGATGGTGGAACGGAGGGGATGAGGGACAAGCAGGAGACCGGAGACAGTCGAGCGGAGGGAGTGGGTTGGGGGGTAAGGTTTGGTGAGTGACCGTCACTGCAAACTGAGATTGAGAATCAGCTGATTTCACACACTGAGGCCCAAACTGTGCTGCTGTCAGCATTAAGTTGAGGTAATAACAAGAGCATTATTTCACAATATTGCCATTATAAAAATGTTCCTTAGAATGCTTCAAGCCATTTGTGAGCAATTTCTATCAGAGCAGTGTAATGTGTCAGCCCTTAAACAGAAGGAAATAGCATATGCTTGGAATGATGACAGAATATGCTGAGGCTGTGGACGATCTTTGTGCAGACACACTCTGCTCACATTCTTCTCTTAATACACAGAGGAATATCTTTGTAAAACAGGGATAACATTTTAATTGTTTAAATTCTTTTCTCATCACACTGTATTTTATGGTGACTGTGTTTCCTGTAGGCGGCAGTATTTTACTGCTCTGCGCATTTGGCTGCTGTGTTTCGCCCACAAAATATACAGTCAATTTGCTTTACAGTGTATCCTGTGAAGCACTTTGAGACGTCTCGAAGACGTGATAAGGCGCTGTATCAAATATGAGGATTATTTAAAAAATATATATATTTTAAAAGGAAAGTTTCCCTTCCTGTCACCCCTTCCTGTCCTGTTCATATTTTAGTAGTTCCATGTATAAACATTGTTATTGTTGAAAAGATAGAGAAAAATGTAAATGTTTGTTTTAATAACTAACTTCCCAAATATGCCACAAACTGCTATGGATTGCAGGATGGAGCCCTGTGGAATTTAGTAATGGAATGTGACTTAAATGTGGTTTAATTCCTAATGTATTTTTTATTTTTAAAAAAAGACTTAACTCTTCCAGGTGTCTGAGCAGCTGCAGAGAAACTATTGTGGGCAAGTACAAGTGTTTTTATAATAATATTAATAATAATCCTTGTATTTGATACAGCGCCTTATCACGTCTTCGAGACGTCCCAAAGTGCTTCACAGAATATACTGTAAAGTGGATCGACTATTTTGTGGGTGAAACGCGGTGGCCAATTGCGCGCAGCAGTTGTCCCACAAACAGTTGTGGATTGAGTAAACAAATTATTTATCTTTTTGAAGGGATTATTACCCCCTGGAAAGCAATTCGCCAATCAGCTAACAAGCGGGTTCCTACTTACTGCTGGTAAACAGAGGCTCGTGGAGTAAGAAAATTTGCCTAAGGTTTGGTCCCGCCCGGGAATTGAACCCGGGTCCTCGCCTGTGAGGTGAGCGCACTAATCACTACGCTACAGAAAGCCACGTAAAAATAATATAGTATTTTGTCTTAAAAATGAATTGTCTCAGAAATATTTCTTGGTAATATAATAAGAAATGCACATTTCAGAATCTGTTACTATTGCAACTGATTTGGGTGGATATAAATATTAAAACTTTACAATTATTGCTAATCTCTCTGTGTGTCAGTGTAAGGGAATCATTGTCCTTTCTGACAAGGCAGTGTGTGTGTGGATGGACCTGACAACGTGGCTGATGAGCAGGACATGGA